AGAAGGTACAAACTAATATATATCATATCCCTGGTAAATATTTAAAAAATGAATCAAGGATGATATTCACACAATCACCTCACCTCTTTATTGTATCTACAGCTTGGTTTTTTTTTTTTTTTTTTTTTTTTTTTTTTTTGGTTTTTCGTGACAGGGTTTCTCTGTGCAGCTTTGGAGCCTATTCTGGCACTCACTCTGGAGACCAGGCTGGCTTCGAATTCACAGAGATCTGTCTGCCTCTGCCTCCAGAGTGCTGGGATTAAAGGTGTGCGCCACCAACACTGGCCTACAGCTTGCTTTTAAAACACTATGCAAGGTAAGGTGTGGAGGTGTATTCAGTTGGAAGATTAGTTGTCTAGCATACATGAAGCCTTTGGAGCAGTCTCCATTATTGCATAAACACATAGCACATACCTACACCCCAGCTCTTGGGAAATAAATGTACGAGGGTCAGCAGTTCAACCATTATTAGCTACACAGCAAGTATGAGGCACCAGTCTGGGCTAAGTAAGACCCTGTTTCAAAAAGCCTGGTGGCGCAATAGGAAGTGGATGTCTGTGAATTTGAAGCCAGTCTATCTAGTAAGTTCCAGACAAGCCAAGAGAGTCCCTGTCCCCCAAACAAAATGAAATGACCCAGGGCTTGGAAGTAGCTGAGTGATACAATGCTTGCCTAGCATTCATAGAGCCTTGGGTTCAACCCCCAGTACCTCTAATCAAACCAACAAAAATACTATACAATGTGAGTGTAACAGCACACACCTGCATTACCAACACATGGGAGGCAAGGTGGAAAGACCTCCTTTTGAGACCACCCTGGGAGACAGGAAACATCTCTCAAATCCAAACAACCCCCCATACTCTCTAGACATGATCTTGCTCCAAGGTCAGTACTACAGTCACATGACATGACTTCCACAACACCCCGACTCCTAAGTCTTCAGCAACAGGACCTGGAGGATCAGAAAAGAAGAGCACAGAATAATTCCCGGGGTAGAGCTGGAACTAGAGATCCACGTGCTCTGTCTTCTGTGTGAACAGAGAAGATAAACCAATGATCTAAGAACAGGGAGAGGAATTTGCCACCAGCTAAAATATTTTCAAGAAGAACAAATCATCCAGAAAAAGGATTTGCTTTGTAGAGGCTGAGGAATTTGTGAAGTCAGAGTTGGAACTCCACAGAAATGCTATCTATATTCAACAGGAAAGAACAGGACTCACTTGAAAATGTTATTTGTGGGGCTGGGATTACAGCTCAGTAGCATAGCATTTGCTTAGCATGCACGAGGCCCTGGGGTAAATTCAAAGCAAATCTCCCAGCCGCCGCCCCCCCCCCAAAAAAAAAAAGACACACACACACTCTCTCACACACAAACACACACAGTTATTCTGAGAAAACTGAAAAGAAGCAGGGAAATGAATTCCATGAAATCCACTTAAGACCAATATGTTTTCAAGAATTTTTCTATCTCACTGAAAGGGAGAGACTGAAAATGAAAGGAGGATGCTCAACTCCCAGGATTCTATCTACTGCCAACAAGCAGGTATATGAAACTACAAAGCAAAGCTACAAAGTAAGGTCTACCTTCTGAGGACAATACAGGACTGAGGGGCATGTTCCCAGAGTGAAATCAAGAGCTCTGAGGGCTGGGATGGCAAGATGGCTCAGGGGGTGAAGGCGGTTGCCCCCAAGCCCGATGATTTGTGTATAATCTCCAGAACCTGTGTGGTGGCCGCAGGGAGCTGACTCTCCTAAGGTGTCCTCTGACCAGCAAATGACTGCTGTGGCACATGCACAGTCATGGACATACACACAATAAATGTTAAAGAAAAAAGAAAAAAAAAAAAAAAAAAAAAAAAAAAAAAAAAAAAAAAAAAAAAAAAAAATGGGAGCCCTGAGGGTGAAAACAAGAGCGAAGTGGGCAGAGCTGAGACTCACGGTGAATTATTTCTAGCCCCTGGGTCCTGAGGAAGGAACTGCTACTATCTTACCTGGAAATGCAGTGTGAAGAAAGGAACCTAGAAAGCAAACCCAGCAGCTCCGAGGGCAGAGCTCAGAGCCACAAGGAACAGTTCTCGGTCGACCTAGAACTTGACCACCTGACTAGACACCCCACACCCCTGTATTGGGTACAAAAACCAAGGCAGCTGAACTCAGTGCATGCTGGACAAGCACTATGCCACTGAGCTATAACCCGAGAATTGTTTTTACTTTCTCTCTCAAGATTTTATTTTTATTTTATGTTTACGGGTGCTTTGTCTGTCTGTCTGTAAGTGTACCATATGTGTGCAGTGAGTGAGTGAGTGCCCTTGGAGGCCAGAAGAAGGCATGAAATACCCAGGAAATGGAATTACAGACAGTTGGGAGCCACCATGTGGGTGCTAGAAATTGAACTCAGATCCTCTGGAAGAGTGGCCAGTGCTCTTAGCCACTAAGCCATCTCTCTTGGTCTTGCTTTTATTCTGAGACAGGTTTTTACTGAGTTGCCTAGGGGCTGGTCTTGAACCTGAGATTCTCTTGCCTCACTCTCCCATGGCTGAAATTAAAGGCCTGTACCACCAAAATAAGCTTGCTTGCCCAGCTGGATTTTAAAGTTGCTTTAGGTTGGTGACCTCTTTTCCCTTACCAACCCTTCCTCCTTTGAACCTGAAGTTGTAGGTTATCCCATTCTAGTTCTGCCTTATCTATTGGGAGAGCAAGGAACAAGTAGGTAGTTCTTTAGTTTCGTAAGTCCACAAAGAAAAAACTTCATTTCAGACCTGTACTTGATTACAGTCTTGAGCCTTATCTATGCAAGGTTCAGGTGTGCCCAGCCTTTTAACACAGCAACACAACTACTATCTACAAAGGTCATATTTGGGAACCATACAATCCAATTCCCTGGATCCCATAAAACTTTCAAAAAGAAAAGTCTCAATGTTTGCACTAACTTCATGATTCTGTGTTGGGCTATATTCACAGCTACCCTGTGTCACAAATGCCACATGCACCACAGAGATGTTCTGTTTTTTTTAAAAAAAATAAGGTTTTTGGCCTGGCAGTGATGGTGCACGCCTTTAATCCCAGTACTTGGGAGGCAGAGGCAGGCAAATCTTTGTGAGTTCAAGACCAGTCTGGTCTACAAAGTTAAGTTCCAGGACAACTAGGGCTGTTACACAGAAAAACCCTGCCTCAAAAAACCAAAAATAAAAAAATAAATTAAGGTTCTCTCCCCTCTCTCTCTCTCTCTCTTTCTCCCTCTCCCTCTCCCTCCCTCTTCAATATAGGGCTTCTTTGTGTAGCCCTGGCTATTCTAGAACTAACTCTGTAGACCAGGATGGCTCAATTCAGAGATCCATCTGCGTCTGTCTCCCTGGGATGAAAGGTGTGTGCCACCACTGCCTGACTAAAGATTTATTTCATTAAAAAAATTTACTTTTAATTATGTTTGTTTATGTGTCAGTATTTGCATTTGAACAGAGGAGCCCTTGGAGCCAAAGGTACTGGATTTCTTTGGGGTAATAAGGGATCGTGAGTAGGTCTGACACAGGTACTGGGGTTTGGACTTGGGTCCTCTGTAAGAGCAGTAAAGCGCTCTTAACTGTTGAGCCATAGAGATGATCATGATGATAGGATTTAGAATAACTAAGACACTGATATTTAAGACTTTAATATGCTTGCAAGGGAGTGACTATATTTTGTGTAAGGAAAATAGAAGCCAGAGGGCAGACTGATGTGAGAAAGACTCAACACAAAGGCCATTATCGGTTGCTCAGACCCACGGGAGGGTCTGCAACCAGTCTCTATCCAGCAGCCAGACATAAAATGGGGGCGTCAGTCCTATAAACAAAAGGAAGTGGTGCACCAACAACTTAGACTCCGCCCCAGAGCCTCTAGATTAAAGAGAAGGTCTTGATGATCTTTGATTTGGGCCCCATTAGACCTTGATCTACACAAGCCTGCTTGGTGTTCTTGTTAAGACTATTTGACTAATAGCCCTGTGTAGCATCAAACTCACTGTGTAGTCCAGGCTGCCTTGAACACATGTTCAGCACTCATGTGCTACCAGGCCCTGTCCACCTAGGCTTTTGACTTGCAAAACATTGAGTTATTATGAGGTTTTCCATTCCCCCACCCCTTCTGAGACAGGGGTTCTCTGTGAACCCTTCCCTGTCTGTCCTGGAACATACTGATGGGGATGTCCTTCTGTATGCTGTGAATATATGTTTCTCTTATTGATTGGTGAACAAATGCTGATTGGCCAGTAGCAGACAGGAAGTATAAGTGGGGCTACCAGTCTAGGAATGCTGGGAAGAGGAACACAGAGGGAGAGTCTGGGGGTGGGGTGAGGTGGGGTGGTGGCAGATGCCATGTAGCCACCAAAGGAGTAACATACATGTGCATTACCAGTAAGCCACAGCCTCTGGGCAATAGTTTAATAGAAATGGGTTGACAATTAAGAGAGCGCTAACCAACAAGAAGCCATCCGTCAAACAGTTTATAATCAGTATGTTTGTTTGGGACTAAAGAGCTTCAGGACCTGGAGGAACAGAAACTCTGTCTTCACTTACTCTGTTGACCAAGCTGGCCTCACACTCACAGAGATCTGCCTGCCTCTGCCTCCTGAGTGCTGGGATTCAAGGCATTAAAGGTGTGCTCCATCACTGGTTGGTGAGGTATTGTTTTAAAACATGAAGTCGGTAATAGTTTGTTACACAGGAGAAAACTATGTAGGTCAATGGCTTCTATGTTGGAAGTGCTGTCACTCAGGCCCTCCCTGAGAATAAAGCAAAGGTAGCAGAGAGGGGACCACGTGAAGTTCTGGTACAGACCCGTGCTCATGAATTCAGCACAAGTTTCTTCATCACAAAGTATCTGAGCCAAAGGGAAGCAGCTCAGGAAAACACTTTTATGCCAGCACGTCTTTTCAAAGAGCAGGTGTATTATGAACCACAACATTGTGTCAACACCTGTAAACAAGCGACTCAGACACAGCCAAGAACATAGTCACAGCTGCTTACCTTCCTCAGGCCCCGACTGTGGACTGCTGGAATAAAGATATGCTCCTTTTCCTCCTGTTAGCAATGTGCCCAAGAAACACTCGTCCCCCTTTAAAAACATTAGCAACAAAAGAGCTGGTGATTTACCACATAAGAATTTACAGACTCAAAACTCTTCCATTTTGTCAGTCTAAAAATGTGAACATACTAAACACATACCATGTGCTTTGGCATCATCTGGTTCTTTTGGCTTATTACCAACACTGTGAGTTTTGTTTTTCTGTGACAAAGTCTCACTGTTGCCCAGCCTGGTCTGGGACTTGCAGTGATCCTCCTGCCTGAGCTTCCTGACTATAGGGACTACAGGCATGTACTGCCTATCACACCTGGCTTCTATACCCTACTTGTGGTGGTCTTGTTCCAGTGGACTGATGTCTGTGAAAAAGAAACCACTTCTCTTTTGTCCTGACACCCTATCATCTCAGCTTCTGTGCAGGTCAATCAGGAATTTTCTTTTAATAGTGCTGAAGACACTTGGGGAGATAGACAGCTCCATGGTAGAGAGTGCTTGCCTAGAATGCTGAAGGCTTTAGATTTGATCCCCAGTGCTGACTTAAAAAATGTACAGGGAGATTTTTGTGAGCTGCCATGTGGGTGCTGGGAATTGAACTCAGATCCTTTGGAAGAGCAATGGTGCTCTTAACCACTGAGCCATCTCTATAGCCACCATACAGGGAGATTTTTAGAAACACTAAAATAGGTAGAATTCCTCTCACTTTGTTCCCCCAATAATTGTTTGCTTTCCCCAGAGACCTAACAGGAAGTAGAAAATGCTAATAGGAATCAAAACCAAAAAGTACAAACCCTTTCTTTGCTTAGCAGTTAAGATATTTATTTTATTTTTTTTCTGAGACAGGGTTTCTCTGTGTAGCTTATAGACCAGGCTGGCCTCAAGAGAGATCTGCCTGCCCCTGCCTCCTGAGTGCTGGGATTAAAGGCGTGCACCACCACTGCCCAGCTTAAAAATTTATTTATTTTTTTTAAAGGTTTATTTCTTTATTATGTATACAACATTCTGCCTCCATATATGCCTGCATGCCAGAAGAGGGCACCATATCTCATTACAGATGGTTGTGAGCCACCATGTGGTTGTTGGGAATTGAACTCAGAACAGCCAGTGCTCTTAACCTCTGAGCCATCTATCCAGCCCCAAACTTTTTAATTTTTATTTATGTATTTTATGTGTATGGGTGTTTTGTCTGCATGTATCTTTGTGTACCACATGTATGCTTGGTGCCTTTGGAGGCCAGAGAGGGCATGGGATCCCCTGGGTGTAGAGTAGCAGATGGTTGTGAGCCAACATGTGTGTTCGAGGAATAGACCCTGTGTCCTCTGAAGAGCAGTAAGTGCTCTTAACTGCTGAGCCATCACTCCAGCCCAAAGGTGAAATATTTTATCATTTTAAATTGCTTACATTTGAGCCATCTTACAAAAGTGTTTACTTTATATGTATGAGTGCTTTGCATGCATGCATGTATGTATGGGCACCACATATGTATTTGGTACCCAGGGAGGCTGGAGAGGGCATGGAATCCCCTGGAACTGGAGTAATGAATAGTTACAACCCACCTAATAATGATGCCATCACTGGGGACAAAAATGCTGCTTACCCTTGTTGCTTGCAGGGCTTTCTCAGACAATTTTATTTCATTATCTTCTACCTGTAGCCAATGGAAATGAAGAATTTTCAATATAGTGCTTCAAGGATAGGATCCTACTGTGTCTCCCTAGGTAGTTCCTCTCAGGCCCTGACACACTGGCAAAGATGCTGATGGTCATCAGGGCTCAAGTACTAGGCCAAGGCCAGGTTTCCTACTAACGAGCTCACATGCATGGAGAGGATGCACAATTTCCACTTGCATTTCACTGTAGGAGGAAATCACAATGAATGGGGGAACACTGAAGTATTTCCAGAGTGTACTATAAGGCAGGGTCTCTGTATGTAGCCCTGGCTGGTGTGGAACTAGCTATGTAGATCAGGCTAGCCTCAAACTCAGAGATCTACCTGCCTCTGCTTATTGAGTTCCGGGATTAAAAGTGTGCCATTATGCCTAGCCAGAGTGTACCATATTTAAACATACATGTTAAAGTATGACTTTTTGTTTTCCCCTATCTACATCAGAGCTGCAGAAACAGATTCTAAAATAGGAAATAAGACTTTTTTTTTTTTTTCCTCGTGACAGGGTTTCTCTGTGGCTTTGGAGGCTGTCCTGGGACTAGCTCTTGTAGACCAGGCTGATCTGGAACTCACAGAGATCTGCCAGCCTCTACCTGCCGAGTGCTGGGATTAAAGGCGTGCGCCACCACCACCTGGCCTAAGATGCAGCCTTTTAAAGGCAGGCCTTACTTAGTCCAGGCTGCTCTAAAATTCACTATGTAATGTAGTTGCACCTCCAACCTGTACTCCTCTGTACTTCAGCATCAGGGCTGGGCTTACAAGTATGTACTACCATGCCTGTTCATGGAGTGTAAACTGTGTGTGTGTGTGGGGTGTGTGTAGTGTGTGTGGTGTGTGGTGTGTGTGTGTGTGTGTGTGTGAGAGAGAGAGGGGG